ACAATAGTAAAAATCCACAGGAATTCAGATTTTTAACAATGGCAAAGACTTTTGGTCAAAATGAAATCTCAAGAGGTGCCACAATTCACTGATCACATTAACCTGGTTAAAAAACAAATCAAGTTTACCAACGGGGACATGCTAGAGTTTGATAGTGAGATTTTCATTAGTAATAGGGGACAATTAAAAGTTGATTTGTACCTTAAACCAGCGTTAAAATGTGCCCAACCCCCAGCACAGAGTAACATATGCTTTTACGTGCCAGGAGAAATGCATGATCTATCATTCGGGAAAGCAAACAACATGAGCCTAAACAAATGTCACAAAACAGACAAACAAGAAGACAGAACGCCATTTATGTAAAACGGGAAAGAGCATTTCTGAACAGAGGACAATGCTGTGATTGCAGCTGCATCAGTACACTCAAGTAATATCCCAGTTCATTCAAAGTGCTTTATACAGCATGCCTCATTCACCCACTCACACCATTTAATACAAGCACTTTTGTATTAAGTACAAGCACTTTTTTGCTTAAAAGCTTTCTGTCTAACATTCACAAACAATGGGGGAGGCGATCGAAGCCCTTTGGTTGTCTACCCTCCCTCTTTTGATTAAAAACTGGGAGCTTGAGTAGCTTTGCAGGCCTGGTCCTACCAGCCACACCCGTTAAGGACAGCTGACCTCTAGATCTGTGTACCTGGTAACTGACTGGGTTGAATTTAATGGCTTGGACCAAGCCCCAAGGGTCTGTTACTTTTAAACTGCTGGAGTGAGAGCTGTTCATATTAATGTAGATTAATTCTCAAGTTTTTATCTTTACTGCTTCACAAAGGAAATGTCAACAATTTACACTTTAATTGCGGAGTATTTTATTAAAGGAGTTTAGCAGGAGCAGAGCAAAAGCAGAATCAAATAAAAAATAATCAAAACCTGAAATTATACTTACCTAATTAACCTACTCTGAGATATTCTACCCTCTACATTGATGGGGAGGAGGTAGAAAGGTTAGAAAGCTTTAAGTTCCTCAGAGTCCACATCTCGGCAACCTTACCTCGTCCACAAACATTTCCCACCAGGTAGGGAAAGCACAACAAAGGCTGTACTTTCTCAGGAAGCTGCGTCCGGCCCAATTACCCCAGAGACTGCTAGTAAACTTCTACCGCTCCACCATCGAGAGCCTGACTTACTGCTGCACACTCTGATTCAACTGCTGCACCGCGGAGGACAAGAGGAAACTGCAGCGGGTGGTGAGGGCAGCAGAGCGGGCAACTGGCACCTCACTAACCCCCCTCAGAGATATTTATACTGGCAGACTTCAGCAGAAAGCCAGCATCATCATCATCAAGGACCCCTCACACCCTGGACACTCACTTTCCCCCTTCCCTCTGGTAAATGCTACAAGTCCATCATCTCAAAGACAAACAGACTCAATAGAAGTTTTTACCCACAGGCTATCAAACATGCCCTACCTCCACCCTGACTGGAGGATAACTGCACTGCCAACACTCATGGACATTACACCTTATTTATAGACCGTATTTTTATTTCTACTATATTGCAACCAACATTCCTACATTTTTAAACTGTAATTATTATAGTAGCAACAGCACCCCCACCCCACTCGATGTGCAACAGCAGCATCCCCCCCCCACACACACACACACTCAATGTATCCGTATGTATGCAGATGTATGTATAACTTGTACATATCTTTCTTGTGTAAATATAAATTTGTCTGTGTTACTGTGTAAATACTTACGCTATTGTGTAAGTATTACATTAAACCCTAAACTCATGGAACAATGCCAAACTGCCTTTCATTGTTCTTGTAACAGTGACAATAAAGACCTATTCTATGCTATAATGCTTACTGTGTGCTGATCCTTGTGAGTAAGAAGGTTAGAGAGAACGAGTGTGCGATGGCCACCAGCGCCCCTCTCTTTTCTGTGTAGGGATAACCAATAGAAGAGAAGTCAAGTCCAAAGGCGAACAATGGATTTATAAATACTGTGGAGTTTATACTCCAGCATGACAAAAATGAGCAGAGAAAAAAGCCAAAAAAACCCAAAACTAATTTTAGGTTTCACAGTTTGGACAGTGGTTGAAACTGTGACCATGTGACATCCGATCATGTTGTTGACATCTGTGATGGACCGAGTTGAAAAAACAGGAGTCGTCCCAGGAATTATTAGAAAAATATAGTTTCCATTTACTTAACACCCAAAAATTATATTTCAAGGTTCTTTATTTGTCACATGCATAGTTATACAAGTATAACACACAGTGAAATGTAGCCTGACACGCTCCTCGACATGTGCAAAAATTGTGTGGGATGCATACATGCATACA